TCCCATTGTGTGTTCTTGACACCACTGTTTAAGATTAGTTGCCTATATATGTGTGGGTTTATTTCCAGGCTCTCTAGTATGTTCTATTAGTTTATGAGTCTTTTTATGCCAATATCATATTAACTATGGCTGCTTTGTAATATATTTTGAAATCAGGAAGTGTGATGCCTCCAGCTTTGTTCTTCTTTCTCAAGGTTGCTTTGGCTATTCTGGGTCTTTTGTTGTTCTACATAAATTTTAGGATTATTTTTTCTATTTCTGTATAAAATGCCATTGGAATTTTGAGGAGACTAGCACTGAATATGTAGATTGCTTTGGTAGTATGTCATTTTAATAATATTAAGCCTTTCAGTCCATGAACGTAAAGTATCTTTTCACTTTTTTATGTATTTTTTTAAAGATTTTATTTATTTATTTGAGAGAGAGAGAGAGAGAGAGAGTGTGTGCATGTTTGAGAGAGCACAAGTGGTAGAAAGGGAGAAGGAGGCTGCCCATTGAGCAGGGAGCCCGATGCAGGGCTCCATCCCAGGACCCTGGGATCATGACCTGAGCCAAAGGCAGATGCTTAACCAACTGAGCCATCCAGGTGCCCCTGTGTTTTCTTTAATTGGTTTCATTAGTGTATTATAATTTTCAGTGTACAAATCTTTCATCTCCTAAATATTTTGTTGCTTTTGATGCTAATGTAACAGAACATTTACCTAATTTCCTTTTTGGATAATTCATTGCTAGTGTATGGAAACGCAACTGATTTTTTTTTAAAGATTTATTTATTTACTTGAGAGAGAGAGAGGGCGCACAAGCAGGGGGAGTGGCAGAGGAAGAGGGAGAAGCAGGCTCCCTGCTGAGCAGGGAGCCCAATGCAGGGCTCAATCCCAGGACCCCAGGATCATGACCTAAGATGAAGGCAGATGCTTAACGTACTGTGCCACCCAGGTGCCCCAGCAACTGACTTTTGTATGGTGATTTTTATATCCTGCAACTATCCTAGATGCGTTTATTCATTCTAACAGATATGTGTGTGTGCACGCACACGTGTGTGTAATCATTAGGGTTTTATATATATGATCATATAATCTGCAAACATAGACAATTTACTTCTTTTCCAACTTGGATGCATTTTATTTCTTTTTCATGTCTAACTGCTCTGGCTAGGACTTCCAGTAGTATGTTGAATAGAAGTAGTGAGAAAGGGTACCTTTGTCTTGTTCCTGATCTTAGAGGAAAAGTCTTTAGTTTCTCACTATTAAGCAGAGGTTAGCTGTAGGCTTGTCATATATGGCCTTCATTATGTTGCAGTGTATTCTTTCTATACTTGAGATTTTTAACATGAAGGGATATTGAATTTTGTCAAATACATTTTCTGCATCTATTGAGATGATCATATGATTTTTATCCTTCATTCTGTTAATATGTTTATTGATTTGCATTCTGGCATCCCAGGAATAAATTTTATTTGATCACAGTATACGATCCTTTTAATATGCCATTGAATTCTGTTTGCTAGAATTTTTGTCCCAAATTTTTGCATCTAGAATTTTTTTTAGATTTTTGCATCTGTGTTCATCAGATATGGACCTGCAGTTTTGTTTTCTTGCAGTGCCTTTTTCTGGTTTTGGTATCAGTGTAATGCAGGTCTCGTACCATGAGTTTGGAAGTGTTGCTTCTCTTTAATTTTTTGGAAGAATTTGAGAAGGAATAGTATTAATCCTTTTATGTGTTTGATAGAATTCACCAGTGATGCCATCTGGTCCTAGGCTTTTCTTTGTTGGGAGGTTTTTGATTACTGATTTAATTTCCTTACTTGTCTGTTCATATTTTCTGTTTCTTCTACCATATGATCCAATAATTCCATTCCTGAGTATATATCCAAACTGAAATCAGGATCTCAAAGAGATATCTGCACTGCCATGTTTATTGCATCATGATTCACAAGAGTCATGATTCAGAAACAATCCAAATTACCATCAACAGATGAATGAGTAAAGACAATGTGGCAGATGCATACAATACAATGTTATTCAGCCTTAAAAAAGGAAGGAAATTCTACCATTTGTGACATCATGCATAGACTAGAAAACATTATGCATTTTTCAAGCATTTAAAAATAATGCATTATCTATACCTCTACATTTTTATCAAAATTCATTTTTCATTTTAAATGTCCTTTTATCTAAGTAACAATTGCTTTGAAGCAAAAGCTAAACTGTTAATCCATGCATTTCTGGCCTTACAAATTTAACTGGGTAACAAATGATTGCATTATCTAGTTCTAATTGCTTAAAAGTCATGTGATAGGCCAGTTGCACAACCAGAGACATGTTCTTACTCTGACATTGTTTCACTTAGTTCAATCATCACTTTTTTTTACAGCATCTGTCTTGCCCAGACAATTCTTAGGGATTTCTGGAATACAAAATCCAGGGCAAGAGGGGCTGCAGACAGAAAGGAGTTGAAGGTGACCCATAGTCACTGCAGCATCTCTTACCTGCTGTGGTCCCCTCACGATGATTATCCTCAGGGCAGACACTGAAGACCAGCCCAGTTTGGGGCTTTCATGAGGTTTCGTGTGAGGAACAGGAGACATCGTATCACCATGGAAAACATTATGCCTGGAAATAAGTCAGTCACAGAACAAATCCTGCATGATTCCTCTTATATGAAAAATCTATTTTAGCCCATAGTTAACAACAGGGTGCTGTGCACTTAAAAACTTGTTAAGAAGGTAGATCTCGTGCTATGTGCTCTTACCAACAAGTACAACAACAAAAGCAAGGGGATACAAGAAATATTTTAGTGGTGATGGGTATGTTTATTATCTTCTTTGTGGTGACGGTATATGCATATGTCTAAACTCCTTAAGATTTATATGTTAAATATATGAGACTTTTTGTATATTTGATTTGTCTCAACAAAATTGAAAACAAAGAAAAAAAGAGGATGAGCACAAAACAAAACTGAGAATATGCATTGGCAAAGATGTAGAGCAACTGGAATTTTCATTCATTGCTAGTGAGTTGTAAATTGGTAAACCAAAACACTATGTGGCAGGGTCTACTAACAGTGAATATATGCATATCCTGTGGCACAGTAATACTACTTCTAGGAAAATCAAATGTGTAACTATGTGCATCAACAGAGATCTACAAGAATATTCATAGTACTATCACTTGTGGCCACCCCAAACTTCAAACAACTTAACGTCAAGCAATATTAGAATAAATAGAGAAACTTTGGAAGTATATACAACAATGAAAACAAACTACTAAATTCTTTAATATGAATCAATATTACAAACATATTATTGAGCAAAAAGAGCCACACAAGAGTACATATTACCTGTGTCCATTTACAAAGGTTCAGGCAGGCAAAACTAATTTTGGTGGTAAAATTCAGAATAGTAGCTATTTGTGTGTAGCAATGCAATGACTAAGATAAGTATGAGGAGAGATTCTATATTCCTGATAAATTTTCAAAATCTTCGTCTAGGAAATGCTTACACAAGTTCATTCATTTTCCTACCACGACATACACTCATGATTACTGCACTTCTTTGCACACGTTATCCCTCAAAAATTTTTTCACACTGATCAATCCAGAAATTTTTTTAAGTTATATTTTTTCTATTTTAGCAAGGGTGTAGGGAGTTGCTCATATATTAGAGGTAGGAATGTAAGTTGTAACAGCTACTTAAAGGAGCAAATGAAAGAATCTACTATGAAGATTTAGAATCTACTATGAAGAATCTACTATGAAGATTCTCTATCCAGCACGTTCACTTGCTAGTATTTCTACCCTGGAGAACACTTGGATATAGGTACCAAAAGGAGCATGCACTTAATTTTGAATGTGGCAATGCTTCTAATAGAAAAACAAAAAAGAAATGAAGTACATATCCAAGGGTAAGGAAATCATAAACTGTATCTATTGGTTCCGAGGACTACTATGCAGGATTTTAAAAGAATGAGGTAGATCTATATAGAATTAAGGAAAAATCTCAAGGATATAATGTTGATTTGAAAAAAGGTCTACACTTATGTAAATGCATAGGAACTAGGAGTCATCATATAGGGAATGGGTTTGTAATTAGTGCCTGAAAAGGATTTTAGCCTATTTCCAACGTTTACATTTATTATTATGTGTAACTTAATAGCACTTACAAGTCTTCTTTGAAAAGACTATCTAACCAGAAAGTAATAGTGGTTCCCTTCAGCGGAATAATTTTCACTATATGACCTTCAACACCTTTAAATATTTGAACGATATAACTATAGCACCTATTGGTAAAAAGTTCAGTTAAAACTTAAAGGTAATTTGAATTAAAACATAATTAAAAAGCGCCCCACTTCGTGGGAAAACATACAAATATAATCAAATGTGACTACTATTAAGATCGGACTGTTAATTATGCGACAGGATCACAGAGAAAGGGGTCTCCTAAATAAGTCTGGGGACGTGAAGGGAATTCAAAGTGGAGGTGACGCTTGAACAGAGAAACGGAAGGTCCTATTTTTTCATTCCTGGAGAGCTCAGTGCGAGGTGCCTGGGGCCCTGAAATCCAGGCCAAGACTATTTTCCACGAACCGGAACCTAAATTCCCACCAAGAGACTGCAGGGAAGGGAAAGAAGCAGAATCCCCAACAAGGGGTAAGCGGCTGCTTTAACAAAACGGTGTGGGACAACGCTCACTCAAGTCCAACCGGCTCGGGGCTTTCAGAACGAATTTCCGATTACCACCCTCCCCTCCGGCCAAACCAGCCCGCCCTCTCCCGCCTTCCCGTGTCGCTTACTGGGCAGCAAATGATCGACAGACCCATCCACCAATCGTCGGCTCTGTTAGGGGTCCTGCAGGCCCCAGCCTAGTCTTTGGTCCCTCGGGCGAGATGAGCCTCGGTGCGTCGACGTCAGCGTGTTGACGTCACGGGCCGGGTACTCGAGGAGGACAGCGGGTGGCTGGCTGACTGCGGGTGGTGGGCTGCGCGTCGGCTGCGGGGCTTGGTCCCGGGTCCCGCCCCGCCAAGCCCCGCCCCTCCGCCCGCTAGGACTCCCGCGGGCGCAACCACGGAACTGCTGTCCCCGGGCCAGCCTGGGGCGGCCGGCCCGAAACCACCCGATAAGGTAGGCTGGGTTTCTCGTCACCCTATTTGACAGATTGGAAAACTGAGTCACCCGGGAACAGATGACTTGCCCGGGGCTCACGGGAGACCCGTGAACGCAAGCCAGAGCCCGAGCGTCGGGGTGTTTGCCGAGTGCTGCGCGGTCCTCGGGGAGGAGGAGGGGCTAGGCAGGCTGTGTTTATAAAGGATGCAAAAGTGAAGCTGTAGAATGCTGAGTCCCACCTCGTTCCAGTGCTTGGGCTGGGATGCTGGGACTGGATGCAGGTAGTGAGGTCTGCATTCCTTCGCCCTGCGGACCCCGAGGAGTTCTCCGTGGGGTCCCGCCCAGTGCTGGCGCCATGGGCCCTCCAGAGTTACCACAATGGTGACTAGGGTGATGTGTGGGTTATACAGACGAGGTCGATCATTGGCCTCTTTTATTCATTAAGAAAATCTGTGTTCAAAACAAAACAAAATTTAAAAATCAAAGTACAAGTTATGAGTGTTGTGGCCCTAGTTTCATTTCACTGCCTTGCCCACTCATGGTATCCAGCCATATTTTGAAATCTCCGTAGCATGCTTATTTTTGCTTAGGATTTTCTAGAAAGAGACTTTTTTTTCTCTTTTGTTCAAATATGGGTTAACATTGTGGAACTTTTCTGACCCTTCCGTTAATGTGCCAGTTATTCACCGTGTCATTTGTCTTCTGTTTCACAGATGGAATCACTGAATTCATCACTTGACTCAGTAATAGTTGGATAAGTTTAGCAAGGTAACGAAGTAACAGGTCTTATCTCTCAAATATACTGGAATTAGTTCAGATTGTTTACCTCAGAATCTTTGTTGAAAAGGGTTCTGAAAGATAATTCCCATCTATATACCATCTACCCATCCACCCTCTTTCTAAAAGCAGGATCTCCAAAAATAAAACTTTTACTATGCTTGCTTTATTTATAGACTCATGCCCATAAAGTGAAAATGTGCAGTGTACGATATATGCATACATATATATTTTCATAAAAAAATTCATTCTCTTTAAATCTTGCTATCTAAAACATTGAACTTTTAAGTCTGCATGATTGCATAAAACTGCATTGAAGAAGTGAAATTGAAGTCACTTTGGGGGACTTTTTCTTACTTATGTTCACATGATGGCAATTTTAATCATTTCAATTTATTCTTTGAACAAGTTTACCAGATGAATACCTCATATATGCCACATATTGGTTTAAGGTGTTGGAGATTGATTGTTGATTACTTAGGGTTCCTGCCCTCAAAGACCTTCCATTTTGGTGGAGACACAATAAACATGTAAACAAAATGACTATTTTAGATAATGATAAATGATAGAAAAATAGTTCAGGATAAGGGGATAGAGTGTGACTGGGATGTGGGGGAGAAGAGGGAATTTAGATATGGTGATCAGAGAAGGCTTTGAGGAAGTCACGGTTTCATGAGACCTGAATGTTTAGAATGAGTCAGCCATGGGAAGATCTGGTGGAAGTTTCCAGGCAGACACTGCAGTGCAAAGGAGCTAAAGGAAAAATGGGCTTAGCATGTTCCAGGGGTAGAAGAGAAGCCATTTGGAATGGCGTGAACCTCGGAGAGAGTGAGGTTGGGGGAGATGACACTTGAGAGGTGGGCATGAGCTGCATCATCGGAACCCGGTGCAGACAGGCAAAAGGCCTAGGATTTGTGTATTGCCAAATCCTTCTTTATTTAATGATGCTCATAGACTCTAGCCAGCTCTCTGTTTTATTTTAGTTATGAAATCATTACAGCAATTCATTATATATATTTTTTCACCAGTAGTCTTCTCTCTTAATGAAAATATGTCTTCCCTCGAGCACTGTGTCCCATGCTGTTTTTTTCCTGTTCATTATTATGTGCAGGACTCTCAGCCTCTGCTTATCTTCAGCTCCCTGCTTTTATCCTTCCTTCCTATGAGTCCTCCAGGATTGTCTTTATGTGTTCGCCCTTTGGAAAGGACTGGGAGTCAATCCCTGCTCTTGTCCAAGCTGAGTTCTAGGAAACTGCATTGTCAAGTGGATTACCATTTTCCATCAGAACTTTTAACTGATCTGATTTAAGAGACTTAATGTCTGCCTTTATTTAGTGCCCACACTGTGCCAGGTGCATTACATACATTCTTTCCTTCCAACATATTGCAAAGGTAAATATTACTCCTTCTTGAGCAGAAAGGAAGCTTGTACTTCAGCCATCCAGCTAGTACTGAGTGAGCATAGATTTGAACACTCCAATTAGCCTGAAACCAAAGCCTAATCCATGTTACTCTACCTCACTGCTTCCCTGAATACATAGCAGCAGCTACAAATCTCTATTATTTGAAATTATATTTGTTGAAATGGCATTTTAGAGATCATGATTCAGGCCTCTCATTTTATAAAGGTGTTATTTATTTATTTATTTGAGAGGGAGGTAGAGAGAGAGAGAGAGTAGGGGGAGGGACAGAAGGAGAAGCAGACTTCCCACTGAGCAGGGAGCCTGATGTGGGGCCTGATTGCAGGACCCCGAGAATCACCACCCCAGCCTAAGGCAGATGCATAACGGAATGAGCCACCCACACGCCCCCAGTCCTCTCATTTTATTTTTTATTTTTTTAAATTTTTATTGTTATGTTAATCACCATACATTACATCATTAGTTTTTTTTTTAATTTTTTATTGTTATGTTAATCACCATATATTAGATCATTAGTTTTTGGTGCAGTGTTCCATGATTCATTGTTTGTTCATAACACCCAGTGCTCCATGCAGAACGTGCCCTCCTCAATACCCATCACCAGGCTAACCCATGCCCCTACCCCCTCCCCTCTAGAACCCTCAGTTTGTTTTTCAGAGTCCATCATCTCTCATGGTTCGTCTCCCCCTCTGACATACTCCCCTTTTCTTCCTCTCCTGTTATCTTCTTTTTCTTTTTTCTTAAAATATGTTGCGTTATTTGTTTCAGAAGTACAGATCTGTGATTCAACAGTCTTGCACAATTCACAGCGCTCACCGTAGCACATACCCTCCCCAATGTCTATCACCCAGCCACCCCATCCTTCCCACCCCCAACCACTCTAGTAACACTCAGTTGTTTCCTGAGATTAAGAATTCCTCATATCAGTGAGGTCATGTGATACATGTCTTTCTCTGATTGACTTATTTCACTCAGCATAACACCCTCCAGTTCCATCCACATCGTTGCAAATGGCAAGATCTCATTCCTTTTGATGGCTGCATAATATTCCATTGTGTATATATACCACATCTTCTTTATCTATTCATCTGTCGATGGGCATCTTGGCTCTTTCCACAGTTTGGCTATTGTGGACATTGCTGCTATAAACATTGGGGTACACGTACCCCTTCGGGTCCCTACATTTGTATCTTTG